CCGGGACGTCATAAGTATGAGTCAATTGCCAAGTGTCTGAATTTTGATCACAGGATCATGGGGGGGGGATGCTGGAAGGTTCATAAGTGGGGAAAATGGTCATAATAAGTCACTTTTTTTCAGTGCTGTCGTAAGTTTGAACAGTCATCTCATTGTAAGTCGAGGATTACCTGTATACTGGAAGTCCTCAACTTCTGACTACAATTGAGCTTAACATTTCTGTTGCTGAGTGAGTTTTCCCTCATTTCACGATTTTTTTTGCCATGGTTGTTAAATGAATCACTGTAGTTGTTAAGTTAGTAACATGGTTGTTAAGTGAATCTGGCTTCCCCGTTGACTTTGCTCGTCAGACGGTGGCAAAAGGGGATCATGTGACCCTGGGGACATGGCAACCGTCATAAATACAGATCGGTCGCTAAACATCCGAATTTTGATCACGTGACTATGAGGACGCTGCAACGGTCGTAAGTGTGAAAAACGGTCATAATTCACTTTTTTCAGTGCCGTTGTAACTTTGAACCGTCATTAAACTAATGGTTGTAAGTCAAGAACCTACCTTTCTAAGGTAGGTTAAATGAGGACCCAGTTTGTGGGGGCAATAAGCTGACTTTGTATAAATATACAAAAAGTATGAAGGCTATTGCTTAATGCACTGTAAGCCGCCCTGAGTCTCCGGAGAAGGGCGGCATATAAATCAAATTAAAAAAAAAAAAAAAAAGAAGTACCTGTACTTGTTTTTTAATTTTTATTATTATCAAATTTACAGTACATGCCTCCCATCGCGTGCTTCGAGCAGCCTCAATTATTTACAGCTACGTAATGCTATATTAGCAAGTGATAATTTCCTTGACATTTCTAAATCCCCAGTGGGTATTTTATGTCTTCATTTTAAACCCCTGATTTGTATTTTATTACTCCGTTCTCTGTTTAAAACATCTCCAGCCTTAAAACCACTTAATAAAAATACAAAGCAGGGACATTTAAAAGTGAAAATCCCGTTGAAATTAAAATTTAGTTTACCGCGGCTTCGACAGCATCCAGCCGTCATCTTTCAAATTGCCAGATTAGGATGTGGCAGAGTTACGAGCTAATCAAAATGGAAAATTTGCATTTTCAACAACCGGGAATGGCCCCGGCGTCTTTCCAGGTAAAACAATGTAGCTTTGCTAAAAGCTGAGAATTTACCGAGATGAGAAAGGGGAGAAAAATGTGTTAGAATAGAATAGAATAGAATAGAATAGAATAGAATAGAATAGAATAGAATAGAATAGAATAGAATAGAATAGAATAGAATAGAATAGAATAGAATAGAATAGAATAGAATAGAATAGAAGTTGGAAGGGACCTTGGAGGTCTTCTAGTCCAACCCCCTGCTTAGGCAGGAAACCCTACACCACTTCAGACAAATGGCTATCCAATCTCTTATTGAAAACGTCCAGTGTTGGAGCATTCACAACTTCTGGTGGCAAGTCGTTCCACTGGTTAATTGTTCTCACTGTCAGGAAATTTCTCCTTAGTTCTAGGTTGCTTCTCTCCTTGATTGGTTTCCACCCATTGCTTCTTGTCCTGCCCTCAGGTGCTTTGGAGAATAGCTTGACTCCCTCTTCTTTGGGGCAGCCCCTGAGATATTTTAACACTGCTATCATATCTCCCCTAGTCCTTCTTTTCATTAAACTAGACATACTCAGTTCCTGCAACCGTTCTTCCTATGCTTTAGCCTCCAGTTCCCTAATCCTCTTTGTTGCTCTTCTCTGCACTCTTTCTAGAGTCTCCACATCTTTTTTACATCGTGGCAACCAAAACTGGATGCAGGATTCCAAGTATGGCCTTACCAAGGCCTTATAAAGTGGCATTAACACTTCACGTGATCTGGATTCCATCCCTCTGTTGATGAAGCCTAGAACTGTGTTGGCTTTTTTGGCAACTGCTGCACACGGCTGGCTCATATTTCAACGGTTGTCCACTAGGACTCCAAGATCCCTCTCATGGTTGCTACTATTGAGCCAGGTACCACATATACTGTACCTGCGCATTTCGTTTTCCTTGCCTAAATGTAGAACCTTCCTTTTTTCACCCTTGAATTTCATTTTGTTAGATAGCGCCCAATGTTCAACTCTGTCCAGATCCTTCTGTATCCTGAGCCTATCTTCCAGAGTGTTGGCTATTCCTGCCAGCTTGGTGTCATCTGAAAATTTGATGAGTTCCCCATCCATCCCCTCGTCCAAATCATTGATGAAGATGTTGAAGAGTCCTGGGCCTAAAACAGAGCCTTGGGGTACCCCACTGCATCCCTCCCTCCATGTAGATGCAGTTCCACTGAGGACCACTCGTTGAGTGCAGTTGATCAGCCAGTTTCGAATCCATCTGGTGGTGATGCTGTCTAACTGGGTGGTAATGGGAGCGACATGGCGTTCCCATATAACACCTCTCCTGCACCAGCTGCACTGGCTCCCAGTGGTCTTCCGGGTGCGCTTCAAGGTTTTGGTTACCACCTTTAGAGCGCTCCATGGCTTAGGGCCTGGATATCTACAGGACCGCCTACTACCACCAATAGCCTCCCACCGGCCGGTACGCTCTCATAGAGAGGGGCTCCTCCAGGTGCCGTCGGCCAAACAATGTCGACTGGCGGCCCCTAGGGGGAGAGCCTTCTCTGTGGGGGCACCTACTATCTGGAACGAGCTCCCCCCGGAGATACGGAGGATCCCGGATCTGCGCACCTTCCGTCGCGCTCTCAAGACCTTTTTATTCCACCAGGCGGGCCTGGCCTAATCTTTTCCCTTTTTCTTTTTAATATGAAATAATGGGACAAGAGATAGCCCTGGCCCCGGAATCCTTCCTCCTAGGTATGATCGAAGATGGTCTCGACAACAATAAAACCCAATTGGCAATTCAAATTATTACTGCGGCTAGATTAGCCTTTGCGAAACTCTGGAAATCCAACTCTACCCCCTCTGAAGAAGCATTAATAAATAAAATTCTAGAGTGCGCAGAGATGGCTAAATTGACGAGCGAGCTAAAAAATGAAGAGAACTTCAAGTACTATGAAATATAGGGGAATTTGGTATAACTGGTTAAAGAATAGGATAAAAATATGATAATAGGCTACGATTTGTTAGACACCCGAAATGGACTTAATTGTATAGAAATGTAGAGAATTGTATAGAACTGTATATTGTATAGCTATGGATGAAATTCACTTAATGTTTGATCTATGAAATGTGTAAACATTGCACCTCGGATCAAGATTGTGATTGTACATTGTCTTTTTAAAAAATTGGAAAATTCAATAAAGTATTAAAAAAAAAAAGAAAAAAAAGAAAATTTTAATCTGTTTTTAAATGATTGGGGTGTTTTAAATCTGTCTGGGCCAAATTGTTTAATTCGGTTTTATTCTGTTTTTAAATTTTGTATTTATGTATTTTATCGTTTGGCTGTTCACCGCCCTGAGTCCTTCGGGAATAGGGCGGAATATAAATCAAATAAAGATAAAGATAACCCAGATTTTCCTACTTTTTCTAGTAGTAAGTTATGGTCTACTTTATCAAATGCCTTGCTGAAGTCCAAGTAAATTATATCGACAGCATCTCTCTGGTCCACTAATTTTGTCACTTTGTCAAAGAATGCAATAAGATTAGTCTGGCGTGATCTGCTTTTGACAAACCCGTGTTAGCTTTTGGTTATTATTTGGTTTGCTTCTAGGTGTTCGCTGATTCGTTGCTTGATTATCTTTTCCAGAATCTTCCCTGGTATTGAGGTCAGGCTGATAGGTCTGTGGTTTCCTGGATTTATTATTTTTTTTCTAAATTTAGTTTTGCTAAAAGCTGAGAATTTACCGAGATGAGAAAGGGGGGAAAACAAGTTAAGTAATTGGCTGGGGAAAGGAAAGATAAATCAGCTTTAAGCTCAGGCATTGTCTGGGAAAATATATTTTACGCTTTTGGGAAAATGGTTAGCCATTGGGCAGACGAAGTTCCTTCTGACTGGTTTTGATATAATCCATCAAAAGGAGATTTAAAACACTTCAAAAGCCAGACACGCGATCCACAATTTTGCAAGTCGAACAGGGCTCTGACGGTCCTCCACTTACGACAGTTCATTTAGTGACCGTTTAAAGTTACAACAGCACTGAAAAAAGTGACTTACAACCATGTTTCACGCTTATGACGAGGGCAGCAACCCTATGGTCACGTGATCAAAATTCAGACGCTTAGCAACTGACTCATATTTATGATGGTTGCAGTGTCCCAGGGTCATGCGATCCCCTTTTGCGACCTTCTGACAAGCAAAGTCAATGGGGGAGCCAGATTCACTTAATGACGGTGTTACTAATTTAACAAGTGCAGGGATTCACTTAGCAAATGTGGCAAGAAAAAGTCGTAAAATGGGGCAAAACTCACTTAACAAATTTCTCACTTAGCAATGTAAATTTTTGTCCATGGGGGAACCAGATTCACAGACTCATATTTATGACCGTTGCAGTTTCCCTTGGCAACTGACTCATATTTATGTCTGTCGCATTGTCCCTGGGTCACATGATAACCTTTTGCGAATTTCTGACAAGCAGCGTCAATGGGGAAGCCAGATTCACTTAGCAATCGTGTTAAGAACTGCAATGATTCATTTAACAGCTGTGGCAAGAAAGGTCGTAAAATGGGGCAAAATTCACCGAACAACTGTCTCATTTAGCAACAGAAACTTTTGGCCTCAATTGTGGTCGTACGTCGAGGACTATCTGTTATGGTACGTGAGAACGACCTTGGCAGACGGAGGAAGGAAAGCTGCCTAAGGAACAATTAGATAAGGGACAGCAGAGCCCTCAGCTGCATAATGGACCGAAAAAGAGATTCAGAAACGATTTCTCAGGCTATAAAAGAGACCGAGGGAGATTTGTACTTTCTGACTTGCAAGATTCTGTACTTGCAGACTGATAATAAAGTAGAATTAGCTCACCTGGTCGTGGTTCCCTGTCTGCTTTACCTGGAAGGCTGACACGGACTCACCTGAGTGTTTTGCGGATCATGTCTTCGTCGGTGATCCCGTAATACGTGAGGGTTTCGTTCCAAGCGGGGTTTAATGTATTCCGCAAAGTTTTGGTCCTCAGTTTGTTCGCCTGGGTGGGAGAGGGGGAAAGAAAATAAATCAGTTTGTTTATATGAATAACTCAAGTCAGCGAACACCTCCTACCATTTTTCCCCATAACAACAATCCTGTGAGGTGAGTTGGGCTGAGAGTGTGTGACTGGCCCAATAAGCTTTCCTGCCTAAGAGCGGGACTGGAACTCACTGCCTTCTGGTGATTGGCCCAAAGTAACTCAGACGGCCTTCACGCCTAAGGCGTGGCTACAACTCACCATCTCCTGGTGACTGGCCCAGAATCACCCGGAAGCTTTCATGCCTAAGGCGGGACTAGAACTCATGGTCTCCTGGCTATTGGCCCAAAGTCACCCAGCCAACTTTCATACTTAAGGCAGGACTAGAACTCACAGTCTCCTGGTGATTGGCCGAAAGTCATCCAGCCGGCTTTCATGCCTAAAAGAGGACTAGAATTCACAGTTTCCTGGCTATTGGCCCAAAGTCACCCAGCACTAGAACTCACTGTCTCCTAGTGATTGGCCCACAGTCACCCAGTCACCTTTCATATCTAAGGCATAACTAGAACTCACAGTCGCCTGGTGATTGGCCCAGGAGGGCTTTTGTGCTTACGGAGAAACTAGAACTCACCATTTCCTAGTGATTGGCCCACAGTCACCCAGTCAGCTTTCATTTCTAAGGCATAACTAGAACTCACAGTCGCCTGGTGATTGGCCCAGGAAGGCTTTTGTGCTTACAGAGAAACTAGAACTCACCATCTCCTAGTGATTGGCCCACAGTCACCCAGTCAGCTTTCAGATCTAAGGCATAACTAGAACTCACAGTCGCCTGGTGATTGGCCCAGGAGGGCTTTTGTGCTTACAGAGAAACTAGAACTCACCATCTCCTGGGGATTGGTCCAAAGTCACCCACTCGGCTTTCATATCTAAGGCATAACTAGAACTCACAGTCGCCTGGTGATTGGCCCAGGAGGGCTTTTGTGCTTACAGAGAAACTAGAACTCACCATCTCCTAGTGATTGGCCCACAGTCACCCAGTCAGCTTTCAGATCTAAGGCATAACTAGAACTCACAGTCGCCTGGTGATTGGCCCAGGAGGGCTTTTGTGCTTACAGAGAAACTAGAACTCACCATCTCCTAGTGATTGGCCCACAGTCACCCAGTCAGCTTTCAGATCTAAGGCATAACTAGAACTCACAGTCGCCTGGTGATTGGCCCAGGAGGGCTTTTGTGCTTACAGAGAAACTAGAACTCACCATCTCCTGGGGATTGGTCCAAAGTCACCCACTCGGCTTTCATATCTAAAGGGGGACTAGAACTCACTGTCTCCTAGTGATTGGCCCACAGTCACCCAGTCACCTTTCATATCTAAGGCATAACTAGAACTCACAGTCGCCTGGTGATTGGCCCAGGAGGGCTTTTGTGCTTACGGAGAAACTAGAACTCACCATTTCCTAGTGATTGGCCCACAGTCACCCAGTCACCTTTCATATCTAAGGCATAACTAGAACTCACAGTCGCCTGGTGATTGGCCCAGGAGGGCTTTTGTGCTTACAGAGAAACTAGAACTCACCATCTCCTAGTGATTGGCCCACAGTCACCCACTCGGCTTTCATATCTAAGGCATAACTAGAACTCACAGTCGCCTGGTGATTGGCCCAGGAAGGCTTTTGTGCTTACAGAGAAACTAGAACTCACCATCTCCTAGTGATTGGCCCACAGTCACCCAGTCAGCTTTCAGATCTAAGGCATAACTAGAACTCACAGTCGCCTGGTGATTGGCCCAGGAGGGCTTTTGTGCTTACAGAGAAACTAGAACTCACCATCTCCTGGGGATTGGTCCAAAGTCACCCACTCGGCTTTCATATCTAAGGCATAACTAGAACTCACTGTCTTCTAGTGATTGGCCCACAGTCACCCAGTCATCTTTCAGATCTAAGGCATAACTAGAACTCACAGTCGCCTGGTGATTGGCCCAGGAGGGCTTTTGTGCTTACGGAGAAACTAGAACTCGCCATCTCCTGGGGATTAGTCCAAAGTCACCCAGTTTTTGATTTGTTTGCTGCATTAACTTTTGGCCAAAGTTAATGCAGTCTCGCATTAGACTTTGGCCTAATGCAGGAATAGAAAACATCCTTCTCCTGGGCCCAAAGTTACCATCATAAGTCGAAGACGACTTGTAGAGGTAGCCCGATCCTCAACATACAACCATCTGTTTAATGACCATTCAAACTTGTAACCAAAAAGTGACTTAAGAGCAGTCCTCAGACTTACGACCATTGCAGCACTCTGCACATTCACATGAACAAAATCCGGGCGCTCGTAGCAAACATCCGTTTACAACAGTCAGGATCACATGATCACAATTTCTGATCTTGCCAGCCAGCTTCCGACAAGCAACATCAATGAGGAAGTCAGATTTGCTTAACGACTACGTGAATCCTGCAGTGATTCACTTAACAACCGTGCCCAAAAACTTCCAAAATTAGGCGCATCTCACTTAATATACATCGCCTAGTGAGGGAGGGTGAAGTCCCAATAGCAGTCGTAAGTACAGGAAAGTCCTCGACTTAAAACAGTTCGTTTAGGGACCACTCAAAGTTACAACAGCACAGAAAAAAGTTGACTTATGACCATGTTTCACACTTTACGACTGAATAAAAGTAAACGGCTTGACAACTGGTTCATATTTATGACGGACGCTATTTATGACGGACGCAGCCTCCTGGGGCCACGTAATCCTCATTTTGTGACCTTCTGACAAGCAAAGTCCATGGGGAAGCAGGATTCGCTTAACAACCGTGTTACTAATTTAATAACTGCGGTGATTCACTTAACAACGGTGGCAAAAAATGGTCGCAAAATGGTGCCAAAACTCATTTAAGAAATTTCTCGCTTAGCGATGTACATTTTGGGCTCAATTGCGGTCGTAAGTCGAGGACTACCTCTATTTGCTGCATAATTCTGCACGGGCAGCTCCATTCTGGCGAGAGCTCGCATTTTGCTGAGGACTCGGTGCCCTTTGAAAATGCCGAAGAAAATCTACAGCTTGAACCAAGAAGTTGCCAAACATTGTGCCGTCCTAAAAAGAGGATTTGACCTTTCTGTAAAGAAGATATTGCCAGTCAGGGCCCGATGTAAAACCCTGCGCAGGGCAGGATGTGACAGTTAGGGGGAAAAAATGGCAGTTAATCAGGATGTAATAGGGTTCCCGGCCCTTTAAAACGAGTCCGTAACTCAGCATAATAATAATAATATATTGCTGACATTCAGTGGAATTGCTGCTCTGGTTTATTTCCTGGAGTTGTTTTTTTTTTTTTTCTTGAAAATAAGCATCCATTTTCAAAGGACAGTTTTATCCTTGCAGGACTAAAGTACCATCCAGGAGTTTTGAGAAGGCTCAGCTTGTTTTGGCCATTCCTGGGGTGGATAGGATGGGATGGGATAGTAATGAATAGAATGGAATGGAATGGAATGGAAAATAGAATAGAATAGAATAGAATAGAATAGAATAGAATAGAATAGAATAGAATAGAATAGAATAGAATAGAATAGAATAGAATAGAACAGAACAGAACAGAACAGAACAGAACAGTGGAATGGACTGGAATAGAATAGAATAGAATAGAATAGAATAGAATAGAATAGAATAGAATAGAATAGAATAGAATAGAATAGAATAATGGAATGAAGAATGGAATGGAATGGAATGGAATAGAATAGAATAGAATAGAATAGAATAGAATAGAATAGAATAATGGAATGAAGAATGGAATCGAATGGAATAGAATGGAATGGAATGCAATAGAATAGAATAGAATAGAATAGAATAGAATAGAATAGAATAGAATAGAATAGAATAGAATAGAATAGAATAGAATAATGGAATGAAGAATGGAATGGAATGGAATAGAATGGAATGGAATGCAATAGAATAGAATAGAATAGAATAGAATAGAATAGAATAGAATAGAATAGAATAGAATAGAATAGAATAATGGAATGAAGAATGGAATGGAATGGAATGGAATAGAATAGAATAGAATAGAATAGAATAGAATAGAATAGAATAGAATAGAATAATGGAATGAAGAATGGAATCGAATGGAATAGAATGGAATGGAATGCAATAGAATAGAATAGAATAGAATAGAATAGAATAGAATAGAATAGAATAGAATAGAATAGAATAGAATAGAATAGAATAATGGAATGAAGAATGGAATGGAATGGAATAGAATGGAATGGAATGGAATGCAATAGAATAGAATAGAATAGAATAGAATAGAATAGAATAGAATAGAATAGAATAGAATAGAATAGAATAGAATAATGGAATGAAGAATGGAATGGAATGGAATGGAATGCAATAGAATAGAATAGAATAGAATAGAATAGAATAGAATAGAATAGAATAGAATAAAATAGAATGGAATAGAATGGAATAGAATAGAATAGAATAGAATAGAATAGAATAGAATAGAATAGAATAATGGAATGGAATGGAATGCAATAGAATAGAATAGAATGGAATGGAATGGAATGGAATGGAATGGAATAGAATAGAATAGAATAGAATAGAATAGAATAGAATAGAATAGAATAGAATAGAATAGAATAGAATAGAACAGAACAGAATAGTGGAATGGAATGGAATGGAATGGAATGGAATGGAATAGGAGGAGAAGAGAGGAGAGGAGAGGAGAGGAGAGAAAATATGGAATATGGGAGGGGAGGGTAGAAGAGAAGAGAAGAGAAGAGAAGAGAAGAGAAGAGAAGAGAAGAGAAGAGAAGAGAAGGAGAGAAGAGAAGAGAAGAGAAGAGAAGAGAAGAGAAGCATGACTGGGTATCTTTGCTTTGTGACTTCCGCCTTGATCACTGCCAAACTCACCCATCCAGTGGTGGGTTGCTACCAGTTCGCCCCAGATCGGGCAAACTGGTAGCGGGAGGAGGCCCCGCCCACCTGCCCGGACGCTTCTGTGCACGCGCGCGCAAGCGAACCAGTCGCAATGGGTTTTGAA